TGTTTTTTTATGGAATATACAAGTCTCTCTTCTAATTGCAGTCAATATTTAAATACTGCATACAATTTATCCTCTCTTTATAATTTATCTAGTGAGTGTTGGTTTTTTATGACATTATTTCTGTAACGAAATTGAAATGGTTATGAAATGAAATTTAAATTATTTGAACTTTTGGGGTTTTGTAACTTCAATATTAAATCTTATTTAAAGTGAAACAGCTAATTTCTTTGCAGCCATAATAGTCACATTTGGTCAGATGAAACACACTACTACCCGCACACTACTCGTCGGTGGTATAGCTTTCAGAGGAGATTCGGTGTCAATGTCAATGGCGATCGTTTAATTGGGCCGCATTTTCTACCTGAACATCTGAATGGGCCGCGTTACTAATTTTTAGTAGAATTGTTTGAAAACCTTCCCCTTCGGGCTTACAGCAAATGTTGTTAAAATATTAAAATTATGATGCTAATAAAAACTGATTTTTGGCAAGGCATGCTCAGACCTCGAGGTTCTTGCTGGGCAACAATAACAATTTAATATGTTGATTGCATAAATAAAAAATAATTTATAGCATTTTAAATTATTATTGGCTGACGTGAGCAAACCGTTTATTTATTGTCTTTATATGTGCGAAAATATATAAATATGGCAACATTGCATCTAGGTCGCTTTGTTCATATCGTAGCCGGCTGATGTCAGCCGGTCAGTAACAGCCTGAAAAGGGGGTTAAATAATGATTTGAAAATATTTTTTTTCAGCTTAAATATGCATTTATTTTTTTTTTAATCACGCCATCGTATTATACTCATTTTTCTCTATCTGCTCTTAAAATTAATGACATTATGACTGAATCACCCTGTATAATAAAAATGGAGTCGTGTGTAAAATGTTGTCATTTTACTTGACGACACAAATTATAGAATTATTAATAAATAGTAATCTGAAAATTAAATACAAATGATCCTAGGTGTCCGTTCTAGTGAGTGAAGTAGTTTGGTTATTGTGCCTGACCTACTTCCATCGTAAATGCAATATATTGACAGACTAACAGTATGGTTAAAATTGAGGAACTTTGGCATTTATTTAAATTATTCTTCTGTTCTCATGAGCATTGAAATTTATCTCACTCACTAGCGGGAACCATTGCGAATACATCGATATATAATAATATTCATTTATGTTAGTTTCTTCGATGATTTGTGTCCTCATCTGAAGCTCTGTTACAGGATAAAAATATACATACTAAATTAAAATATATGTTACATGCTTAAGGTTCACCCTGTATAAACTTCTTTAGTCGTGTTTATATAATGGTAGACTTACCTTATTTTCACATTTCCTCAAAAGTTTCTTTTTACCCAAATCGTATAACCTCAACATTTTCCCCACACCAGCAAGGAGCCTTCCGTTATAGGAACATAAAGCCATCGGTACTTCGTCAACAACCGTACGATGAACTAACTCCAACTCTCTTCCCATTACATCAACTTTGTAAGTATCCAAAAATCCTACCAAGCACTGTCGCGGATTAAGCTGAAAATCCTTGGCTATGCCCATAACAAGAAACCACTGGTGTTCTGGCTGCCCGTGAAATTTAACAAGGGTTAGCGACATCGCCGCTTCATTCTGTTCTAGACGTATTAGTTTATACGTGGACCTTTGCACCGGATCCATTATCCTTAAAGTAGAGGCCCACATATTATGGCCGGCTTTGGGCGCTGAAAATATGTTTTCAGGTAAATCTTCGTTTAAAAATGCCTCTGCCATTTCCTTAGCTAATTCCTGCTCCTCTTCACCCGCCGCTTCCTTCATTTCTTCCGCCATTTGCAAACGTCTTTGTTTTTTCGTATCCTCCGTATAAGCATTGTGTTCCGTTTCCAGTATTAATAAATTATTGGTTTCGGGGTGTATGATAAATTTTCTCGGTGTATATTCTAGAGGAAACGACACCTGATTAAAAACTGCGCCCAATTTCTCCAAAGCCAAGATTCTTAAAGTATTTGTCGATATAGCCACGATACCTTCAGGGCACTGTTCCGAACTGAAGCCTGAGGCATATTCCAAACTTTCGTACGATAAAGGAGTTAAATAGAATCGACTTTGGTAATAGTAGCTTAACCAAGACCGACTACTCATTGCCAAAACTGCTTCTGACTGTTGCATTCTAATGCGAAACAGTTTAACTGGTCTCGAACCCAGATATCTAGTTCTCGTATCGGTCAAGTCACCAGTAACGGGATCGAGCACTGTACGTAATAGAGCACCGTTTTGTAAACCAATGTTCAGATACAATGTACTCGTAGTACTAGCAGCTGCTGCGTTGTCTGAATCTCTATCTGTACATCCCATTTCAACAATGCACAGAGATTCGGCGCATACGGGTAACGGCTGCATAGATCTTGGAGCTAAACGATCGCTAGGATCTAATGAGATTATTCGAACAGTGCTATCGGCTAGTCCCACTGCTAAAAACCAGGATCTCTGTTCACCAGGAGGTACATTAGCAAGCGCCATACAAACAACGTCCGAGTTCATGCGTTTTCTTTCCTTACATTCATGCAGCTGACCAGTCTAATAACCAATAAAAATATTATTAATAATTTTAGTAACTCACAAATAGGGATGTTTTGAAGATTTGGGTTTGTTTGATATTTGGCTAGAATAAAGGATTATTTGCTGCTAGTAGCAATATTCAATTTATCATAAACTCATCTTTTAAATTTTGAGAATATATATTTTGAGAATAACTCGAAAGAAGTGACGCTAAGTTGGGAAATTGCAAGTAAGTGGAAAATTTACATGTTTTTACACTTTTTACTGTTACTTACACAAAAATCTAGACGACCTATCGGAATATTAGTTATTTTATGCTGTAGGCAATTAAATTACCTATAATTTAAGGTACCTAGAGAATCATTTTTCACTAATTTGTTAACTGTAAAATATAGGTCGAACCCGGAAATATCAGTTTCTGAAAATTGACCATTATTATTATTATTATTATTATTATTATTGCAAATAGGGATGGATGCTGATGAAATTTATGGAAAAGACGGTCAATCCAATGACCAACATGTGTGCCAAACGCCGATTCAATTGACCGTGAAATTATTGCCTCAACAATTTTTTACTAATTTCGCTTGTTTTTTGCAACTAATTGTTTAATTACTAAATGTTAATTTTAGAGGTTAATGAAGTTAATATCATAGATATTAGGCTGATGCCAAAGCAGATTTTGAAGGCTAAAAAAAAACTTTAACAGGTAAGGACCAGTGGGAAAATTTAGTTTGGGTTATAAATAATAGAAAAAACAAAAATTGACCTCAAGATAAAGGGAAATTGTGAAATTAGGATGGTGTTTAGGGGTTGAAAATTAATTTTTGCGATTTTTGGAGAAATACGACTTCCTAGCGTAAAGTGTTTACACAAAAGTTGTAGATTATAAAAAAATGGATAACTTTTATACACGACATTTTTCAACATAACCTCAAATTTTAAGAGAAAATCGCGGAAAACCAATTTTTTCTAATATAAAATATTGAAATATATAGACCATTTTAAAGTAGACATTTCAACGGTTAAAATGAGCCGGGATGAGAATCCTGTTATTATGAAGATCACTATAAAAAAATGTATCAACAAGTGTAAAAGAACTGTTTTATAGGATACCTCTCACAGAGGATATCCTAGAAAATTATTAATAAAAAAAAATAATAGAATGAAGTAATGTTCCACTAATGGGTATGCTTTTGGTGATACCCAATAAAAAATCTACCTTAAAAACAGTAAAAAATTGTTGGCCGCCGAGCGTCTGTTGTTTGCGCTCTTACTTTAGTATTTAACTCCAATACTGAAAAATTAAAATATAGTAAATATCATAGTAGTATCTATTTCTTTTACTTACTGCTTTATCATCAGTTTATTCTACTTTATGTTGACACAAGGGGGTCAGACTTATGTTGCAACAATTTTATTTTTGTGTATAATTCAAATAATCACCTTAATTTTACTTCAACCCATCCCTATTGTTAATTGTATAACTTTTTTTCTTTAATATTGTACTTTCTTGATTCACTTCATTGCTCTATAGAAGTAACAACGAAGGCGACAAGAAAGTTTTTATCTAGCACCGCTGCAGAGCTAAGAGATATTGATATCAGTTAGATAATGCAGTATGATGCAAAATTGCACACAATTAAGGTGTTCTTATGTAAAAGTTTCCTCAAATTTATGGGAAATTACCTATAAATAATGTTTCATCACGGGCAAAGGTGTGTAGGTACTTTATGTAGAAATGTTGAAAAAATAATTTATATGAAGGTGGGAGGTTATATTAGTATTAATATTTTTGGAAACTCACTTCACTCAGAAGTCTATCATATAAATGTCAGTTTTATAATCATACAATATATTTGTAAAATGAAGCTTATGAAAAAAATACTTTTTTTTTTAATTCTTCAAAGAATCAATTTTGAAATATTTTCCCTACTTTTACAGCAGATTTTTTGCCTATATATACATATTTATAGTTATATTTTAAATAGAAATAAGATTATAAAGTGTTTCATGAAGATGTATCATATCGAAATGGCAAAAGTGAGGCAATCTAGTAATCTAGGCTAGCAGAATGATAACTTAATAATGTCCTAGGTCAAAATTTAGGGTAATGCAAAATGATTTTTGAATTTTTGGTATACATTATACACCACAGGCCCTTGAAGTCAGAATTCTAAATTTCCAGGACCATACTGGAAAAATTTGTATTCTTGTGTGGTCTCTCCAAAAACTTCACAATTTTTTTTTTTAATAAATAATAAATTCAATATTGTTCTATAGTAGGATCGTATTCGATGCAAATTGTCGGTCTTTTATCAAAGGAAAATCATGTCATCAGTTTTAGGAGACTTAAGATGAACCATTTCAAATTTAAAATAAAATTAAATGTAAAATCTGAAATACCGCTGCATACGCACTATGTTCTGGTAGTAGCTGTAGTCCCCTAGGTGCATCGAGTGTACGAAGTGGTCGGTTATATGTGAAGCACTAACCTGGGGAGCTTGGTCATAAATCAGAGACCACCAACAAGTAAACAACAGTGGCGCGTAGAGGTAAAATGTAGTACATTATGTGGAATTTAAAAAACAAATTGGATTTATAATAAATTACATTTAAAATAAATAGTAGACGTGAACTGATCCCTTCGTCCCTTCATAATGTATAAAGAAATTATTCAATTTCTAAACCCCTTAAACCCGTATTGTACTGGATCCCTTGACAAGCAATGATTTATTACTTTGCATCGAATATGATCCTACTATTTCGTATAGTGTACTAAAAGTATACAGGGTGATTCATAACTCTACCGACACAGAGGCAAGCACGTGTAGATCTTAAAATATGCAGATTTATGTAACATTTTTTTCTGGGATGTACCGTTGAAACATCAAAATTGACATATGAAATCACGGCCTACTAGTCGTAAAACTACATACTTTTTTTGTCCGATTCAATTAGTATGGACGCTGTTTCACAAAATCCTGATTTTTCTCAAAAACCGTTATTTTTTTGAAAAATTTGTAATAGTAAAGAAATTTTTAAAATTAAATTTCCTGTAATACTGGTAAAACTGTTTAATAACCAACATACCAACAAAAAAATCCAAAATAACGCATTTGATTTGTTTTATCTCATTTTTATTAACTTTTGAACAATGAAATTCTGGTAATGTTTTTTTTTTTTTATTAATTTTTTGATATTATTTTGGCTAGAAACAGTTAATATTTTCATACTGCAGTTGGGTATGAATAGCACCATGACTTCTTACTGGGCTTTAATAGACTTTACAGTTACTAATGAAAATTGACTGACCTTTAATGGTATGTGGTGTACGCCAAAAATAAATTAATCTCCATAAAAGTTTCAAAAACCATGGTCAAAATAAGTTCTAAAATCATTCTGTATACCCAGGATTCTGTCATCAAAGATTATACAGTTCACCACGAAGCATCCTGTAGAATTAAACTTACCGGATCCATTTCAAAGTAAACCAGTTCTCCACCGGATAAAGCGATAACAACCTGCCGCTGATTGACTGCACATTTTACGATATATTTTTTCCCAGCCTTCCATTCGTTTACCCTTTTATCGGCACAAATGTGTCTTATACCATCAGGGTACACCTGAAATCATGTAAATTACACGAGTGAAATCAACGTAATGGCGAAGTAACACTCCAAAATATTTATAAACCGATTGTAACATATATGGGAGACCCAAAAGTGGCAGTACTAGAGACCACATCTGGTACTATGAATATGTTGTTTATCTAGGACATTAACTTTCTATTACTTATAATATAGATAAGTAATAAAATGGGATGTCCAACCACATCATAGCATAAAAAACAAATATTTCACAGATCACATGCAACAACTGTTTGCTACAAAATTGTGAAATCAGGTATTAAATTTATAAGAACTTTTAAAACTTGGTAAATTTAGGTCACAATTCTGTTTAATATTATTGTTAATACAGCATTTACCTAATATATCTTTGTTTTAAGTTTTTTTATTTAAAAAAAAAATGTTCGTTTAATTGGTCAGTAAAAAATATATTTTTGTTAGTTTTAAGGCAAACTTAGTTGTTTCAAGAACTCGGTATAAAAGATACATAAAAATTAATTAAGTAATTGAAATGAAGTTTTGACGAAAAGTGTAACCATTAAATTATAAAATATCAGTAAATCTACATTTTACCGATTCATTTCGGTTCTTACAAAAATATAATATATTGTACCTGTACAAGGGCGTCATCACTTAAAGCTGAACAAGACAAAGTGGGCGTTGTTCCTAAAAATCCACTGTCAGTTACTTCCTCAACAGTTTCACCAATCGATAACACCAGAGTTGCATTTATGAAGGAGACAATAATATAAGCATCATATTCATCTGGAACAAAAAAATATAAAATCCAGGATCTTTTTTTTACCAAACCAGGCTTTAGACATAAATAAAAAGTTAATCAGTTTTGTTAATTGTAATCACTCTGATTCAGGTGAAACACGGACAAAAACTCATCATTTAACCTAATACAAAGAATATTTATGTTTTGAAAAAATGTTCCAACAAAATTTACACACTTTTATTCTTTCAGTAATACTTTACATTAATATAAACCCCAAAGTTTAAAATTCACAGATAGCCTTTATATTAATTTGATAAATGTAGATACTCATTTCAAACACAATATGTTCTATATTTTGAATACTTTTCTTATTAATTCTGTACTTTCCTTATTACTCAGACGTATAAATCTTTTAGGTACATTTTGAAAATATTTATACAGGATGTTCCATAATTAGCATACCAAACTTCTTAATTAAATTCTCTATTTAAAAATAAGAAAAAGTTCTAATAAACATAGCTCCTAAATTACTCCCCTTGAAAGTACAGCTCTGAGGATGGTTTTTATAATATCCAAAATTTGTAAGAACAAATGAATGAAACTATGATTTTGCCTCTTCAAACATTGTGTTTTTCTTAATGTTAGGTACAGTAGAAAATATACAATATGATAGGAGACACTCCTATTATAGTTTTAGGTTAATATCTTGAATTGGTGCCTTCTTTGGTAAATATTTATTTTTTTAGTCAGTTATTTCATAATCTGTGATTGTCCTATAATAGTGCAGTATTATTAACAAGATGGGTAGAAAAATCATCCTAAAATTTGATTTCGAAATATGTCAGAAGGGGTGGGAGTAGAAACTACCCTTGTGGGTAGTATTATCATAAAAAGAAAGATTTTTTTCATAAAAAAAGGTCCCTTAAAAAAAAATATTTTAACAGCTCAATTTAAGAAAATGTAAGACCCCAAATCAGGTGTCACTAGAAACTATGTTAAAAAATATAGTCGAGGAAATAAAGCACTGAACCTCCGAAATTTTTCGATCAAGTCGTATCAAGATGGGGTTTTTTGCATTTGGTTTCCTAAAATTATATGAAAAAAATGTATCAACTTTGTATTGTTTTTCGGCCAAATTGCATTTGTGCAGTGCAAAATGCATTTTTTAGTCACTTAGAAAAAATTCATTTCGAGGTCACTGATCCCGAATATGAGCTTCAAATTGATTCATCGCCGCCATGGAGCTTAGGATTGATGACGAACGTCATCTTCAATGCTTCTCCTGAATTTCACTCTTAAATGCAGCGAGACTCGACACTGTTTTTTTTCGGGGCGCTCTTTTCAAATCTGGCATCGGCGGACACCTGGTGCACTGGAACTTCGATATATTTGAGACTGCCATTAATACTGCAATAACTTGTTTGGAATTGTTGATCTCATTTAAAGTATGCAAGATGCAAATAGAGGGAATAAATTTAATGAATGTCGCAATGTATGCAAGTGTTGTTTCAAAAACAAATCAAAATCATTTATTTCGAAATCAATTGCCATTTCTAACCTACTCTTAACTTCAATTTAATTTAACTCAAATATAATCTAACACCATTTTATCCTAATCTAATCAGCTATTAACTTAAATTTGAAAATATTCTACTAAATATCATTTTCATCATCAACTGACGTATAGGGCCCGGATAGGGGCATATTATAAGATGATTTCAAGAAGAGCGCCTCGAAAAACCCCCTGATGCGATTTTCGGCTCGTTTACGCGAATTTTACAGGAAAACTTCCGGAGATAACGTCCATGTCCAGGTTCCAGTGCACCAGGTGTCCGGGGATGCTCGCCGACGTCAGATTAGGAATCAGCAACCCGAAAAACCTCCAGGTGTCAAGTCTCATTGCATTTAAGAATGAAATTCAAGAGAAGCCTTGGAGATGACGTTCATCATCAATCCTAAGCTTCAGGTCGGCGATAGACCAATTTGAAGGACTTATTCGGAATCAACGACCTCGAAAAGCCCCAGGACCCTGATTTGAGTCCATTCCAGGCATTATTAACCGAGTTATGAAGTGACTTTAAAAAATACTTTGCATTGCATAAATGCAATTTAGCTGAAAAACATTATACAAAACATAGTTTGATAAATTTTTTCCACATAATTTTAGAAAGCGAATGCAAAAAATCCCATCTTGATACGACTTGATCAAAAAATTTTGGAGATTTCGGCCCTTAATAAACCGATTCAAAATTGTTTTCGAAGAGAGTTATAAGAGCCCTTGGTGTGTGCTCCTGAGAAATACCTTCAGTCATTTAAAAGTATTATTGGATGCATTAGAATTTTTTTTCCAAAATCAATTTTACTCGAAACAATGCATGGTATCAAAGTCCATCAAAAGGACAAAAAGTCTATCTCGAGAACAAAATAATAGAACTCCAAAATTTAATTTCATTCTACAAATTTCGAGAACACTGAACACCTTTAGAGTCGTACCTTCAAAGTACTGTAGCCCCCTTAAAACTTTGCCTGTAGAAAGCGCACATCCAGTTAACTACTTCATATCGCGCAAAATGCACACTTGTGTGCTGTTAGCATGAGATTTTATGATTTCAGAATGATTTTCACAGTTTACGCAAATGTATGAATATTTACCTTTATTAAACTATCAGTAGCGGCCGTTGATGATGTTTTTTACTTAGTATCACATAACCTATTTATAAGTACTGCTTGTATATTTTATACTGGTAGTACTCCAGTCGAATTTGAGTTTGAATGTGAAAATGATAATATCAAAAAGTAACTCGAAAGAAGTGACGCTAAGTTGGAAAATTGCGAATAAGCGTCAAATTTATGTGTTTTTTCACTTTAAATAATAGTTTAAATAACTAATTGGATTTCACAGAGTCTAACGATACTTAGAGTGTGATTCAATAAACATAGGGATCTAAATAAAAAGTTTAGATAAATTTGGAACAAATACATTGAAGATGAATTTTTGGAGACAAAACATCTGAATCTGGTTCTGGCTGAGGTAGTACAGTATTGGGGGGTCATAAAGGTTTACAAAAAATGTAATAAAATTTCCAAGGTCGTACTTAAAAAAAAGTTCATGATGGTCCTGGAAAGATGAAACATTACATATAAGTGTTCTTTTTTCAATATTACCTCAAACAAGGCCGAAATGAAAAATCGGATTTCTAAAATTTCTTTTTTTTTTTTTTAAATATGGAAAACTATTCATGTTAGCCTTGATTTTTTAGAGACATAATGTTGATCCCTTGATTACGCAACTTTGCCCTCATTTAAACTAGTTCGTACTTCTTACCGTTTACCTTACCCTGTAGTGAGAAGCGAATTTGTAACAGCCTGTATATGCACAATCGTTTTGAAGATTTCAAGATCGGCCACATTTTAATTTTCACAAATTTTGTTAAATTTTTTTTTGCCACGGAAATTCTCCATGGGCCTAGAAATCATCCCCTAAACAACAATATGGGCCCCAAGTTACATTATCAAAATTTGACCACTTTAATTTCCTCACTGAATCACAATTATACAGCATAAAAGTCTTGTTAAAATACTTTTTTAAATAAAATTGTTATAATTTTCAGTACAGTATAATTTTTTTTCGATGTTTCATAAATCAGAATATTTATAGAGTATTCTGGCCTTCGGTGGATGGCCATTTGATATGAGTATGATGTATTATTGTGCTAAATACCAATAAAGAACTATTATTAAATAAACAAGGATACTTATAAAATAAATATCACAAATATTTTTTATTCATTTCCACTTGGATATTTCGATCACCTTATGCCCAGTTTATCATTCTTCACACTTACCTAGTTTATCACCTCAGCAAGCAACAGAGCAGCATCTGAAATAAAAAAAGCACTGGTGTTGGTAAATGTTCAACAGCCAGGCCTTATTAAAAGAGTGTTTTACTACGTAATAACAATGTTTATAATTATTTACTAAATATTTTCATATCAAAGTTGAATATGGAAAGATAATAGTATCACCATTTTAAGAAAATCAATGGTATCCAAACTGTTTTTCAGTATTCCAAATTAACTATCAGTGTGACTATTTTTACTTAAAAGTTTTATAAAAATTAAAAATTGTAATCAAAAAATAAATCTTGCCTTTAATGTGAAGTGTTGCAACAAAAATGTTATCGCTCATACACAGCAAGTTCTTAAAATATCACAAGACAGATCAAATGTTACCTTAATTGGACATATTTTCCTCTGCCTTTGTAACTTATTTATTAAATAGGTATAAAGGGTAGTTACTTTTAAGGTGTACACAATTTGTATCTCCTGAACAGAAGATTTATGAGGTTGGCTACAAGTTGTATATTTTCAGATTATGAAAAGAAATTGGAGAAAAGTTCCTGAAATAAGCTGAAAAAACTGAAAACTTGACTGTAATTTATTCAATCCTGTAAATCTTCTAGTTCTGGAGATAATAATGATGTACACCTTAAAAGTGACCACCCTGTATACTCTCCGCAGTTACAAGAGTCGTGCCTGTTATAACACACCCAACGCATATCTGAATTATAATTTGCTTTATTAAATAAGAGATCACAAAAAAATGAAGATTAAAAAACTGGGCATTAATTTTCCAAATTCATTCAGCTAGATAGTCTATAGCAGGGGTCGGCAAGTAATTTTAGGTGGGGTCCGGATACTTTTAAAAATTTTTAACGAGGTCCAGAAAAAAAATTGATATTTCAAATTTAATCTGCTTACTAACCATTAAGAACTCAAAACACACACAATTGTAAAATACTAGAAAAAATGATAAGGTTGGCACTTAAAAGTAAAAAAACATTTTTAAAATAATTTATTTGAGTAATTTATACTTTCAAAAAAATTTTGGCGGTCCAGTATTTTACCTTCCGCGGTCCGCCAGTTGCCGACCCTTGGACTATAGATATGTATTTTTTTAATTTATATTATTTTACTACTTCAGAATCAAAAACAAAGTGAAAATGATATATACAGGGTTTCAAACCAGATGTGACGTCATTCTTATCTCAGAAAAATGGATAAATTGGGGTAATGTTGCATAATTTGGCGAATAATAACTTTCCGAAGAAATACACATTTTAATTTTGATTTTGTGATAGTTTAAAAAATAGCAGAAAAATAGAAAATGCATTATTAAGGTCCTTTTCATCCAAATAAAGTATCAATTAGATTTTCTGTGTGATCAATTTTATATTTACACTAGTTGGATTCTTAATTGTCTATCTGCCCAATAGTGCATCATCTGCTACTGTTTCAGATTGGAAAATGTATTATGATGTACATTAGAATATAAATTACTCGTCTTGAAAATACTCGGAAAACAAATTTTGTAGTTTTTATTTCATATCAAGTCGGTTTTTTAAATAGCGACCCTTTTTTTCAACCCCGAAAGTGAAAAGTGCAGAAAATTCTGTATCCGAATGACATTGACCGCAATCTCAAGGTCAACGGTCAAAGTCAGCTCAAGGTCAAATGTTGACTTTTACAGTAATTTTCTATTTTTAACTATGGAAGTGACAGTCTTTGAGTAGATACCTGATGGTACTCCTTAGTGACCTTCATGTCAAGGTCATATAGTTTTTTTTGAGTAGCAACACCTTATTTCGACATTAGAAATAAGGAACGTAGAATTCTACAAGTTATTATGATTTTAAACGTGACCTGAAGGTCAATGGTCAAGGTCAGGTAGAAGTCAAGTGATTATTTCGACTGTCATTTTTTATTTTCAACGATGGAATAGAAGGAAACAGTTTTTTAGTGATCTCAAGATTAAGGTCACTAAAGAGTAACATCAGGTATCTACTCAAAGACTGTCACTTTATCTGATTCCCGAGTTAAAAATAAAAAATTACAGCAAAAATCAACATTCGGCCTTGAACTGGATGCAAAATTTTCTGCTCTTTCCACTTCTGGGGTGGAAAAGGAGAGTAGCCATTAAAAAATGACTTGATCTTGAACCATGACCTTGACTTCAAGATCAAGGTTACCATCGGATGCAGCGTGAAAAATGCAAAGACATGTCCTCACCATTTATCCCAAAAATGCTTTCCCGCTGAGATTTTTGGATGTTTCCATACTTTTGACTAACTCTGTATAAAGATATTATTTGTAACTTTATTAAAATTTTCGTTCATAAAGTTGCAAAAAATATGTACATGAAATACAAATATTAATAAGATTGAATTTAAAAAAATTAATGATGGTTCCTAAAAGACGAAACGTTATCTATAAATCTGATTCTCTATTGTAACAGTCACAAAAAAATAAAATCCAATCTGAAAATTCAACATTTTTCAAAAAATTTCCTAAACAAAGGAAGATTTTCAATTTCCGATCGGGAAATTATTCACTATATTATGCAAATGTAATCATTACATTTCATCTGATTACCATTAAACCATTGCTTGATTTACAAAATAATGCTGTAACACAACTTATACAGACCAGAAATTGCTCTTAAATTGAACAAACAAAAAATTTACTAGTTATCTTAATTCTATACCAATCAGTGGTTGTATATGTACTATGAACTGAATCAAGGTGACCGAATCTAACTTAAAAACCTCAGTGTCAACAATAAAGTGAAACAGCCAATCTGTATACACTGTGGTTTTACTACTTTAACAAACTACTTTGGTCAAATTTTTTCTTAATTGTTACAAATAGAGAAATACGAAATAAAGTTCTAACCAGTCACTGCACTGTAGAGCATATACCTGTGGCGGTAAATGGAAATAAAAAATACAACTATAGTCAATTGATTACCAATATTTCACCAATTTTGCCACAAATATATATATATTTTGTAAAATAATAAAACTGAAAATGAAAAATAATAACTGTACTCTCTAAATTTTTAAATGACTAGTAAAAGCCTATTAAATTCTCTTGCCTCATATTTTACAGTGAGTGATGTCTTCAAACAAATATTTCTATTTCTATTCAAAAATTTAATTCTCACCATCGCTCCTGCGTTTCACAGTCCAAACAGCATTGGGGTTACCAGGCAATTCGGATACGGCCATTTCAGATACTTCCAACCCGTGCCTAAGTACCCGAAGAGACGATCGTGGTCCCCTTCCACACATCATATACAACTGTGGGGTATCCTCTCCTGCTAAGTCAGCCACGCGGGAGGAAAGAATTGGAGAAAGAGACTCTAATTCATCTACCAAAACAAGGTTTCGTAAAGGTCTTGGTGCAAAAAAGAATGTATCACCTTCTTCTAACGGCATGGCCGAACTAAATTCTAACTCATCATCATCATCGCCCAGATGTGCAATTTGATATAAGTAGCTAAAAAAATTATAACAATACATGTTAAAGACAAAATGTTATTAGGTTATTGGAAATATACATGGTGACCCCGAGTAGGTGTTGTGAAAATGGCAAAAAAAAGTTGTTGCCAATATATGTTCAAAAATGTATATTAAACATGCTACACCCCTTATAGAAATATTTTATCAAACGAGAATAGATAGATATTTATAATTTTCGGTATATATATTTTTATATTGATGATGAAATAGTGATGATAAAGTTTGAAACAAAATTTATAATTATACTGAGTGATTTTGTTCTCGGGTAAAATTTATCCAGGGACACCGAGACATTTAGTATACACTATATCAGCAAATCTTTTAAAATATCAATCATATTCTTATGAAATAATATGGGAAAAGTAGACAAATCGTCAACTATCATTATTTTCTTGGTGACAGAAAATTTAACAGATCAAATACTCTAGTAAGTAGATATCTAATGTTTTTACTTAGGTAATATCTAAAGTTTTATTAACAATTATTTACATTAATACATTATACATTGGACGTGAATTTGTAAAAAAAATTATGGTTCTTAAAATAAAAAAAAACTTACTGATTTCCAAATTCAGAGGCCACAAACAGAAATCCAGTTTTTAAAACACACATCGCTGTTGCAACAGGTACTGTATCAAAATATTTTAATTTTATTTCGGTGACCATATCTTCATCGGTTTCTAATGTTATTTTAAAAATATCTCCTTGTTCAGTTTGGGCAAGGAAGAAAAACATCGATTTAGTTTTGTGAGTTGCTGAACAAACAAAAATCATTCCCCTTTCTGGATCATCCAAATCATTTCTTCTTCTTGGAATAGGACAACGAATATCATGTTGATCACCAAGATTTTTATAAGTAAGATAATTTTCTGAACAAATCAATACTCCTGATGGACCATCATCACCGCCTGGCACAGTAACTAGAAAATTTGCGTGTTCCTCAAGGGGTTCTGAATATTTTCGAACAACATGATTGAGTCCAAGATCAAGTTCATAAAAGGTTAAAGTCTGTTGGGTTTTTTGAGCTGCTTCACCCGTAGGATCTGAATCAGCTTCTTCGTAATCAATTTCCAAACATGCAAATATGGGATTATCATAACCTACATCAACACCAACCATATGATACACTAATGTATTACTTTTATGAGCTTCTAGCGGAGAAGATATAGTTAACCTAGCTTGCGCATCACGATTCAATATATATGCTAATTTTTGTTTCTCAATTGCTCCAACCATAACAGCTCTTCCTCTAGGGTCTGTTGCTAAATACTGTCCTGGAACTATTCTTCTAGTTCCGGATTTTCCAAATGTTTCTTGATGAACCTTTTCAAATATATTTTTAGCTGCGATATATTCCAATATTACAATTCTTCCAGAATCAGAACCCACAACAACATAATCTTTTGTTCCTCCTGTTAGCCTAAATGCCATCAAAGATCGAATAATTCCAAAGATCTCTATCGTTAAAAGAGTATGTACTTTGCCAGTGTTTGAATCTGGACGTAAAAGCTCCAAACTTTTACCTCTTGATATTGCAATTTCTTGGGTTTTTGTTCCCGAAAAGTTTCCATGCACTGCATGTGTTATAGCCGTAGCTCTTTGAAGGGTCAAATTGTACAGAAACATGATGTCTGAAAAGATAATGTGTGTAAAGTATTTTTATCTATTTCTATGATGATTCTTACTGAAATGTAATTTTTACAAATTACTCACAAATCACGCTTTTATTAACAATCATGTTCAAAAATAATTTGAACAACAATTTTAACCTATTTTTTTACTATATTTTTGGCAAAGATCAGATCATGAAAAAGTACATCAAATATACAATGTCATTCTCAATAATATTCTTCACTTGTGATCATATTGATTACTACAATTTTAGTTGAATTGATTACTTCATTTTCCAGATCACGGTGTTGAAATTAGAAAATATTAAATTTTCTTAAATATCTCAGAGAAACTTTGACAAACTAATTTATCTAGATAGCAGTAAAAGTTCACTAAATTGATTTACAAATATGCCGACAAGTGGCAGTGTATATTTAAAAAAAAGTCTTCCATTTTGTTTGAACAGCAATCAAGAACTAACTCGAAACTAACAGAAATATTTAAATATCACAATTATGTTCAATGAAAGTATTAAATAAATGGATAAATGTATTGCAGTTTCTCCTTATCCCAAATATCTTATTTTTTTTTAATACTTTTAAGTTTGCTTTGTTCCAAATTCCTTACAAACCTTTAGAAATGTTATTAACTAGGTACCATTTCTAATATTTGCAGACACCAGGGGTCTGTTTTTTCGAAGTACTTTTCATCATCATCATCAACTTTCACCTGCCTATAGGGAACGTGAGCTGGGTTTAAACCGTCGTGAGAAAGGTTAGTTTTACCCTTTCAATCCTTACTTTTCACTTTTTGTAATATTTTCTGTTTGATGATTTTTATGATCCGAAAAGTGAGAGCGAAAAGTTGAAAAGTGAATCGCATCAAGTGAAAAATAAGAGTATACAAAGTTTTTCTGTTTTATTAAGTAATCTATACTTTCTCCTTTTCAGTTTTTAATTAGGTACCGAAATGCCTATTTAAAAATCCTTCATACCATCAAAATGTATTCTCTGCAGAGTTATTCCTTTTATAAGTTGCTCATAGCTGTTTATGATTCAATAAACCAAAATTGTTCAAGCAAATTGCTCTGAAAGCAAGGTAGCTACTACCGGTTCCAATACTTCATTCAAATTGACCTTATGCCAATAGAGAATAATCTTAACAAAGTATTGAGCAGAGTTGAAAAGTACACAAGATAATGATTAAGATACTATTTTTCAAAGAAACAGAAACTCAAGAAATTGGAAGAATTTTTCAATTTTTCCTTTTAGTCTTCTACTTTGCAGTTTTCAAAATTAATTTTCAAAAAACAGTTTATATGCACATTGAAAGTACAAAGTAAAAACTGAGAAGTTAAAGCTTCATAAAGCACATTAATCTCATGGAAGCATTACTATTAGAAATGTTTTTAGGGAACAAAATCTAACAGATCCTTACTGGGTGTGACTTATAACACAAATGGACTAATTTTTGTGGTACCAGTACACAATGTGTTTTAAATGATTAGAAATAATTAATTTCTCAAATATTTGTTATTTCCCTTTTCAATGCATGTATGAAATTTTATATAGATTTCTGGAGAGTACATTTTTATTACAAATTTCAAAAGCAATGCCAAACAGGGATTGTTTACCGCTTGCTAAGAAAATCTCTATGACATACATATTTCATTTTTTATGAGTGATAGTTGCGAAATATCTGACACCTATCGTCAAACTAGAAAAAATATTGAGTTAGTAATTACTTAATAAAATATTTAGGCTGGAATGAAGCAATTTAATAATGGAAAATTCAATAAAATCTGAAAATAATTGTCTATTTTATTGTTTATTTCTAAACTAAATTAATTGCTACTAAGATGTTTAAAGTTAGTGCAATTGAAAGGTAAACTTTCTCTTTTCTAGACAGATATGGAAATATGGTGTTTTCGGAAAGGTTTAATGAAACAGTTATTTCACAAACTATACCTTACTTGTTTAAGAATTGTTATCGAGGTAAATCCAAAAACAATATGATGTTAAATTACAATAATTGGTAAAAAGACTTTTATGTATAAGAATATTTTCAGATTATGTACTACGAGTTTCTTACTGATTATACGTTACTGAATCATTTTCCGCTTCCACTTCAGTTCTGTATTTTGAAAAAAAATATATTTGTTAATATGAACTTTTTTTCATATAATTTAAACAATTGATTTCTGAAATACTTTAGATTACTTATTTATAGTTGTTCTACATTGCAAATTTTTTCATGAATTAATTCATAATCCATTTTATGAAGCTGAAGAGTAAATCACCAAATCACCTTCATGAATGGGATTGGGATGTGAACAATATAACTCTTTATGAATAAACTGATGAATTATTTCAAAAAGAATTTTGTGAACTTTACAAATAAATTTTCAATATAAAATACCTATTAGGAATCACCTAAACAAATTTTGTACTATACAAAAATTAAAATATGCCTTGCCTGTATTTGTAGTGTTGAAAACTAATATGTATTAATAAAATGAATGGTAATGAATAATTATAATTCTAGAATTTACGAAATATGTAATTCCGTTTACCTAAATGTAGAAAATATGTCTAATAGAAAAACGTTACCGACATTAATATTAGTTTTGAAGTAATTATATAAAGAAATACAAAAAAAATCAAACTTACATTGTTATGTGATGACATGGATTTTTCAAGAAATTGTTAGATTTACTTACACCCTTTTTTCTACATGGCACGCCATTTAGAGTTATACATCTTTACAGACGCCGTCACAAAATATATAATATCGTATACTCCTCTTCACTCTTCTCCTTTCCTACCTATGACCATAGAAAATATAGTACTAACCACAGACCATCTAGACTGACCGTATCTAATTCCAATGCACGGGTACCGGTGAATGCAAAATCCGGGGAAGTGGAGTGCGGAAGGCAATCTGATCGCGCGCATCTTTAAGCAGATCCGGATTCGCGCCATTATTCTATGGCTAGAAATTGGCCTCAATGATTTGGGATCGAGGGGGATTATCCCTCTTTATCCTGCCTCATCTCGTGTAGGCCTGGACAGCCTTCGTAGGTGGGCCCCATCC